GATTGATTTGAAAAACAGGTATAATAGAAAACTCACAACAGATTCAAATGCTGCACGATTCTCCTCGTTACGGGGGAAACCATCAATGAGAAATTTGTCATTGCCACTTTCATGCATTGCTTGTTGTAGAAGCTTAACTGTTACCTCTGAAGGTACAATTTTTCCCTCCTTAATCATGTTCTGAATCATTGTCCTGTATATAATAAGATAAATACTTAGACAGACTACAATAACTAAGAATCTAACTTGGATAAAATATTTCAAACAAAAAACGTAGCATATTCCATGAAGCCTAAATATTTGATAGTTAATAGTCACTCTTCATCTTGTACAGAGGCTTCTGAATTTAAAAGAAACAAAAATTACCACAAGTATCTTAATAGATATAATATGTGCAGGAGACAACCTCAGTGGATCAAATCAATTATTTGATCTATAGTACAAGAGAAATAGAGAATTTCGGACAACAATTATAAAAGTGACAACTGAAGAGCACTTAAGTATATGAAGCACCCATCCTTACATTAGAAAATAGATTTATAACATTCTTCTTTTGAAGAGGATACGAAACATTCACATTAAAAAATAAAGAAAAAGAAATTGTACCCATTTTCAGAACCAGATTTTATTTCGGCTCGGAGCAGATCACCAGCACTGAGATGGGTGTACCCAAAGTGTCGGACAATATTTGCGCACTGAGTGCCCTTACCACTGCCAGGGCCACCTGCTCAAGTTTAAGGTTTAAAAACAAAACAGATATCAGACTTGCTTTAAAATTAACAGAAGAAAATATTAAACTAACAACAAATATACTAAGAGAAACAGCACAAGGTAGGATATCAAATTTGCTTCAGAATTAGCTTAAGAAATACTAAGAAAAGCCAAATACTAGATTTAAATGAATAAATTTATGTCTTCTTCAACAACTTAAGCTTTAGTGATTCAAAATGGTATCATAGCGTGAACCATTATAAAAAAAATTTGATGTGTCGAGCCATTTACAAAAAAATGAAATAGGTGTGCATATGAGGGGCGTGTTTGTGACGCCCCAAATTCTCTCTCTACTGTCCATTATTTTCGGAATTAGGGCCTAGATAAAAAGGTTTGAAAATTCAGTGACAGATTATATGATTTGCCCATATCGAGGGACCAAATTGCAATTTTTCAAAATGTGGTTTCTTGGGTCTGTGAACGATACACGAAAATTGGTAATTGGGAAAAATGTTTTGGTTTTATGGAAGGAATGCTAGGAGATTTTTTTTGCCTCTATATGTTAGTTGGATTATCTCTATGTAAAGTATAATACGTTGTCTGTAAGCTATGATGCACCGACACGATACGTGTCGGATACGCCGACACGCAATTTTTAAAAAAAGTACAAACATGACATGTTATCGACACGTTGATTAAATTCTTAAAAATTCTTCATTTATATAGTATAAATTTAATTTTATACTTGTTATTAATTTTTCTTGTTAAAATCTTTTAAATATGAGTACCTATTTGTTACTTGCTAATAATTTTGAATTAATAATATATAATATTTTTAATATAAAAAGAAAAATGATTACAGTAGAGTCCGAAAAGTGTCGGTATCGACTCGTGTTCAACACGGACACGCGATCCGTGTAGAGAAAACTAGGAAAATAATCACCTTAAATGATGTAAACATACTTTATTCTCTAACATGTGAGTAATGCTAAAATGAAACATTCTTACCTAGAATATGTGTGTGTACGTTATTAAGTGGCAATCAATATATTTTTGCCTTAAAATTTAGCCATAAATCATTGGTCGAAATCCTAGCATCCAGTGTGCTATAAATTTAGACAAAAGTTACTCCGGACCAAAATCATCAAACATGTCTCATCTCTTTCTCCATCTCTCAGTTCCCCTTTTGTCTCACACACACCGTCACACACACAAGAACACCTACTGAAGTACTTTTATAATTTCAAAATTTTATTTAAGTTTTTTTTTTTTAAAGGACTTATCTTGAAGGATTGGAGATGAGTTCAATTTATTGATTATGAAGCTCTTACTTTCATTAAGAAATTCTTTTCTTTCTTTATTATCTTATGTGATAATATATGTCTATTGGTGGTACTCAGGTCGTCGCAGTGTTGAATGTTTTAGACCCTCTCTAATGGCTTAAACTTTTATATCAGGTGGAAAGATTTATAGTTTAAGTCTAGCTGCCGTCCATTTAATGAAATTATGCACGTGTTAGGCTTTAATGGGAAAAAATAGACCAGCCTACAAGTGAAAGAACATGTTAAAAACAAAAATTTAAATTATATAAATGTCACCCTTTCTAAGAGTTTAGGCTTTTATATGAAGTGAACTAACATTGAAGTCTAGACTTAAATAAACAACTGTGTCCCTTATTTATCAACTTAAGATTCATGTAATTCACCACAAGGTTAGAACACTAACTATTTTGAAGCTAATGCAGCATAAATCCATTCTTCACTAATTGTTCCCAATATTATCCTTATCAAGAAGAATTCCAGCACAAAGTTCAGTCGCACGACTCTTGAGAAGGTTTCGTGATAAGCATATCAATGGCTTATTTGTAATTAGATTATGTAAGAAATTCCATAAAAATATGAAGAAGGCTTATAATTACATGTAATACAAGAATGAGCGGATTCTATGTATAAGGTGGCAAGACAATGAGATGATGGAACAAAATTAACTAACTATTGGCATGGAATAATGTTATTTATCATTATGATGAAGGAACATCGGTGATGCTATGTGGAATAATGATATTGGGCAATTAAATTTTTATGAGAAAGAGGGGGAGGAGAGAGAGAGAGAGATGTGAGGGATAATGAATTGTCACATCACCAATATTTCATCATGATCATGATAAATTTTTTTTGATAACCGTGGATATCCGGATCAGCTTGGGAGCACCTCGACTAATTCCACGGGGTCCTGAAGTTTACGGCCGGGTACTCACCTCAGTGGCCTCAAGGATACTCGAACTGGTGACCATTGGGGAGCAAACCCAAGGCCTGACCAATTGAGCCACCCCTCAGGGTTATCATGATCATGATAAATAGCATTACTCATTGGCAACAGAACCAAAGGAAATAAGTGAAGGAATAAAAATGCTTCTTGAGTTAGGGATGTACAAGAGCATGTGAATTCAACAGGAAAAATAACACTTCACAGATTCAAATAACTTCGAGGCAGAATGACCGACAGCTATACAATTAAATATTCAGTGGTGGACATTGAAATATGGAAAACCAAAGCACTCACCCAGTACAAAAACCACTGTAAACTTCTTGTCAGTTCCTTTGGCTTCCTGCAATCAGTTCTAATTTATCAGATAATACTGAGCAAATGAGTTTTTGTAAATTTGCATAAGCCATACATGCACATCATTATTATAGCTGCTTGGTCTAATTATAGCTGCCAAAAGAAGCATCATTAAATAACTGCCATAGGATATGCAAGCAAAAAATAATACCATAATTGAGAACTAAGATGCATTCTCAAAAATGAAGAGTATGCTCTGTACATATTGAGTTATGAACTTCTAGTCAATTTGATTAAAGTAATATTTAGACTGAACAAGTCCTAGACATAGTTTGGTTGCTTGTTGTCCAGAATTTTTGTAGAAATTGGCGACAAACATGAGTAAATTTTGCTCATAGGCTGCAAGCAATTGAAAAATTCAGACTTGAAAATACTGGGAGGCTTCAAACACCCAAAAAAGGAAAAAACGAAACAATATATTGTCTAAAAAAAAGATTGTAAACTTTTCTTCAGAAACCACGGTCTGCAACTGTATTACAATGCAGAAGATTTTGCTTGCTAATGATGCCTGCCAATGAGGGTACAAACAAAGCAATCCATGGCGTGAATTTTAGAATCCAGCAATTGTTATAGTATCAATTGCATGCCTACCATAATAAAAAGAGATGTCTGCGTTTCTCAAGCATATCGTTGACAGAAATTAGCAAAATACTGAACCAACAGAGGAAAAAGATCGATACCAGTACCTGGTTTCCAGCATCAACAACAGTAGCCATGAGTGTCTACTAAGTTTTCTTTTTAATTATCTGTGCATACACCCCAAAGCTAAGGGAGGTCAGATGTAAATTTTATTTCGCTTCTTTGGAAGTACAACATTTTCTAAGAATACGGCACAAAAAGAATCCAATAAATCCAGAAAAATAAAATAATTTATAATTTAACAGGAAAAAGGGGGAAACAAAAGACAAAAAAGGAAGGAAGATTCAGAAATGCAGAAAATGCTCAAGAGACCTTCAGGGTAGAGATCCAGCACTTCCTACAACACTCAATCACACCACTACAAGATGAAAGCAATTTCTTCTATGTTCTAGTCACAACTCACAATCACTTAGAATTGAAGGAGAAATTAAATACTTCCAAAAGGCTAGGCTCTAAATTCAGCTAATATGTCATCATATCAGTCAAAAACGAAAATGTTTTAGCAGCAAAAGATGAGAATTGAGTAAGAAGTTAAATATCTACAAAGTGGTAGTTCTACAACTCAGCAAATATTTGGAACTTGTTTACCAAAGGTGAAAATTTTCCAGCAAACAAAATCTTATAATTGAATTGAAACTTGAAAAATTTCAGGCAGTAGATTCTGATTCAGCAAATCGACAATATAAACTAATATAAACACATAACTAACAGAAGATTGTCGTTTTAGTGAAGAAAAGCTCGAAATATGCATCAAAATTATATCTTTACAAAAGGGTAATCTTAAACTTCAGCAAATAATTTGCTGGTTACCAAATATATAAATTAGCAAATAAAATCATAGAATTGAATGCAGGAATCAATCTTCCGCAAGAGGCAGGCTTAACATTCAACCAATAGAAAAGACGTCGAAATTCCTTTTACTGTAATCCGGCAGTAACATTGATCGATAAATAATCAGATTACAGGCTTACAGCAACATAAACAACTTCTAGAGTGCCTAAAATATGAAATTAAAATCATATTTTCAAAATGATCGGTCCTAACATTCAGCACTCACAATTCCAATCAAATACAAAGGAAAAAATTAACTGAATTCTTATTTTTCTGTGATCCCACAATTTTATAAACCTTGAAAAAATAAAATCAGACCAGAGAACTGGGCATGCTTAAAATTTCAGCAAAAACAATCGAATGTTAAGAAATCAAGAAATTGAAAAGGGGAAAATGAACATGATGTACCTTTCAGTGGGTAAGTGGAAAAGGGAGGGAATTGTGGAGATCCCAGAATGTGTGAAACTCAACAACTACCGCGGTGTGTAACGTGTGTTTCTTGAATTTATAGGCGTGGGGCTGTCTTTCTTGAATGGTAGCAACCAATTGATAGTTTTTACTACTTTTGGTTTGTAAAAGTGTGTTTAACATGGAAAATATCATTTTTCGACCCAATTTTCTACATTTGAAGTGTTTAATTGATATATTTTTTAATATAAAATATTTTTCAACTTTTAAAAATATGCATAATTTCATTTTTTAAGGAAAATATTTTCTTTGTGGGGTAGGTTTTTGTTTTCCTTGAAATAAGGAAAATATTTTCTTTTATATCATATATTTTCCATGTCAAATCAAACACATTACGAGGGAACGTTTGATTGGCTTAATTTTTTATGGAATATGTTTTTTTTTTTTTTACTTAAATTCTTAATTTTGGGATTTTTGATTGATAATTAATTTCATGAAATTTTTTTTCAAACTTCTAATTACGTGACCGTATTTTCTTGAAAAATAAGGAAAACATTTTCTTTAAGTTGATTTTTATTTTTCTTATAATTTACTCTCTCTCATTTATCCACAATAAAAAAAAAAAAGAAAAAAAAAGACAAGTATAATATTTTTAGGTTGAAAACTAAATCAATCAAACATATTTAATAAATAATTTTCATACAAATTAGTTCTAAACGATTGGAATGTCTACAATTTATTTTCTATGTAAATTCCATTTTCACAATCAAACGCACCCTAATATCAAATATTAATGGTCAGGAGTAGAGTTAATTGTCCTAACAACCACCCAACTTACATATATTTTTGTATTGCTAAGTTTAAAATAGGGTTTTAATCACTTAACGTATCTCAATGTTGGACGTTACTCACTACACAACATTCGTTTCAAAATTCTAACGGAATAGTGACATGACTGACGGAATGCACAAGTGACACGTAGTTGCCAAATTGTCACTTGAGAAAAAACATCTTCAATTGCTCATTATACTTTAAAAAACATCTTCAATTGCTTATTATACTTAAAAAAATGCCTTCGACTACTCATTGAACTTTGAGATAGTCGAATTTTGATCACCAAACTTATAAAAATGACATCATTCCGTTGTTCGCTACAAATGTGTATCACGTGCGCGTATAAATAATAAAGTGGACAAGCGAGTCCAAATTTTCAATCCCATGATGAATGATTACTCAATTACACAATAGTTAAATTTAATTTTAACAACAAAATACACAATAAATTTGAATCTTGCCGATGATGGAAATAGCTTAAAATTCTATACAAATAATGGAAAAATCACATACATATTATTTGATCTTGAAATAAGAACATTAATAAATGAAATGGGCAGTGGAATCTAAGAATCAAGACATAAAAAAAATTAACTCCTTTGTCTAGAATGAAGAATCTAATGATAATTTGGCCATATGTTCCAAACAGTTGGCTGCTTCCACTATGTTAGTTATATGGAATATATGCTTATTTATGATGTTTGGAGCTTTATTTCGGATTCTTCACTCTCGACAAGCCACCTTTTTGTGGAATTTTGTAATAAAAAAATATCTTTCATTTAAAGGAACTCTAACGTGTCAGTGTACAAGATTTTATTGATTTAAAGAGGTGTACGATCATGAGCATATTAATTAAAAAAGTACCTTAATCTTCACCGAATCAATTCTTGATTTCTTAATTTATTGCAATCTAAATCGTCGTGGCCTTAACTACCCCTTGACATTTAAGATATATTTAGGAAAACTTGCAACGAGTTCTTATCACTTGCAAGAGTTGCAAACGAGTCATTAACCTTTTAAATGTTGGCATTGCCAACCTCAAATCTTTCATATCATGGTGGGAGTTCTTTTCTACAGAACGAAAAGAAATTGGACCGGTGAAAAATACAATTTGGAGAATAAATACTGGGATTATTCTAGTGGTACAGCACCACTTACACAAGGGTGTCCATAATGAACACCCGGCACCTCCTCATTTGAGGGAGTGCCGACCCCACCAACCCTCCATCCAATGAGGAGGCGCCGCTGTCCTTTATGGACACCTCGATGTAAGAGGTGATGTACCTCTAGCATCTTCCTAAATACTGAGGTGAATAGGAATGGGAGAAATCTGTTTTGTCTTCCCTGTGACTCTACTGGTCTCATCCTAGATTTCCTTGCGAACCAAGACTGCAAAAGAAAAATGAAATGTAAAATTTATAGTTTGCTCTTCCAAGTAATTGATGCCGGTATAATCGATTCTACTAAACAATCTGGAAAAAAGCTGCAGAATATCTCTCAAAGTTTTCCTCAATTTCATGATAAAAATCTGAAAAACAGATACTTCACATACAAAAATCAGTAAATGCTGTCTGGCAAATGTGCAAATTCTGCATATCCCTGCTGTCCTTTGTCCATCTTGTGCAGTTGCAACACCAAAGGCCGTCTTACAACTACAATCATGCTACATAAACATCAAAGTTTGACATATTACCATGTGACATTTTATCATTGGACAATTTAAAAAACAGTCAGCTTTTTCATCCAATTATCTACCGACACATGTAATTATGTCAATATTTTTGTCAAATCCTTCTAACAAAGTAGTTTTATCTTTGTAACTATCCCTGTATAGTAGCTCGCGAACAAAATCACCAAGACATGTAAATCACATTTTGGTTCAAATTCTATTCATGACTTATGATGTGTGCTAAGAAATGAAGAAACTAACTGGATCCTCGCAGGAAATCTCGCCCTACTATGCTTTCGAGCTGGGGTGGAGCTAGGAAATTAAAGTTGTGGGGGCAAATTTTACAAATTGTAATTGTGGGTAGGGCTGGACATGGTCCAAAGATAATCGAATTGAACCGAACCAAAATTTTAGAGTATTTAATAAATGGAACCGTCGGGTCCAAATATAATTATGGAACCGTTCGGGGTTTGATTTGGTTCAGTTTGATTCTGTTCTATTCGTTTCCGTACCTTAATTAAATTTTTTAACATTTACAGCAACACTACATAAATACAACTAATGACATGTTCATTCGTAGATTTTACAAATTAACGTAGCCCAATTTTTTAAAAAAAATATGAATAACAAATTGTCCAATAAGATTAATTCAATGTATACAAATATCAAAAAGTAGACACTAATACTAAAATATCGGCGATCCACATCAATAATTCATTTACTTCAAGCAGCCTACACAAAAAAAATGAAATATAAATTAAAAGTTATAAAAATAAAATATTTTTAAGTATTGATAATACCTACCAATTATTTGATTAATCATCAATTGTTTAACTTGTCGTATTAAGAAATTCTACAAGCATAATTGAAAANTAACAATGAAATTAATAATTGAGCCAAAAATTGAATTTAGAAATTGGGTTGAGTTGGGCTAGCTAGACATGGATTTAATTTGGGAGTTGAAGCATTAATCACTAAATTAGTTAATTTGCTAATTTGTTTAGAAAAAATTAAAATAATTTAATTAATTCAATATAAAAAATTAAAAAAATTATTTAGATTCGCTTCTTATTCGGTTCTTGATCTAGAATCAATAACCGAACCGAACCCATCGGTTCTCGATTTAAATTCTCGTTCGGGTATTTAATTTATGAAGAACTGCTCGGTTCAGTTCAATTCGGTTCTGGTTCAGTTCGTGAGTTTTGTCAAGCCCTAATTGTTGGGGCAAAATTAAAAATTATAAGGAATTTTTTTGAAAATCTCGTGTAAAATCTTGAAAAATTTATTGTAAAATTTTTGATTTCAAATTTAGCCCCACTGTAGATCTACACGCTTTTCTGGACAATATCTTCCCTGAAATCTGTTTTCCACCCAACCCCCCATGACGAACGAGACAACAACAACAACAATAATAATAATAATAAGATCATGCAAAAAAGGAATGAATATAAGCTCACAAATCATTACACAAATAAAATACAGAATCAACAACATTACATTACTACTAATTCTATAGCTGGAATCTAACCCAAAAATCTTTTTGTGCACAAATTAATCATTTCTCTCTTTTTACACGAGTGACTTTTCAAGTTTGCACACTACAAACAGATTATAATATTTGAAAATTTTTAAGCCAAAAATTGAAATTGATACACTGGAACTTCTCTAAGTCTCCAACTGCTCAAGGCTCAACTTCTAGACGAGGTGGTTAATAAAATTGGAGACCTGGCCGCCCACGATGGCAAAAGAGGGGAGGGCATCCCAGAGAGAAGATAACACCTGATCGTCGCCGCCATAATCACCTGCAAGCCATTTGCATCCTATTCACCAGTCCAGTCAAACTCTCATTATAGTCATCTTTTTGTAAAGGAAAATGCTATTTGTACATTAGGGGGTACATAAGGGTGTCCATAATGGACACCCTTATGTGCACCCCGATGTACTTGTAGCACCTCCATTTTGTAAATTCCAAAATTTTTCCATTTCGTACAATGACGCTGGATAAAAATTTGAATTTTATGATGAATATTCAGCACAAAAACACGAAAGTGATATAGATCTTGGAAACCCATAACTCAAAAGTTAGCTACTGAAATTGGACAGTACAAATCTATATAAATTACAGACCGGAAACCTATACTTTCGATGTGGAATTCAAGTCACATGCCTTATGATAGATACCAAAACAATTCACCACGCTTTGTAATCCCCTTGTTCATTTCGGATTGGCTCTGCAAGTGATTAGTTCCGGAAAAACACTACTATTCCCACATCAAACTTAGTCTCTGTTTGGTCCGGATTAAAATATGATTTTAATCCAAATCAAAGTCAAACAATCAGTATTAACCACATCTTTCAAATGTCTCAAAACTTTTCAACCACACATTTCAAAAACTTCTATCACAATCTACTAAAAATCTAATTTTAATCCCCCACCAAACACCCTTTTAATATCAACCATGATGTATATGTAGCAAACTCTTAATTATAAATGAAAATAATGTATTTTTGATGATTTAAAAAATATTAGCCCCATTTTTGGATTAAAATGCATTTTAGAATAGTATTTTGTTAGAAGTTAAAAAATAAGAAATATTTTGAATTTTCGTATAAAATTATTTTATGAAAAAATTTGCGATTGAAAATGAATTCTGAAAAAACAAGGGGCTATTCTCTTCTTATTTCAGTTTTTAGTTTTGAATTCATTTTCAGTTTTGTATTTTGAGTGTCTGTTTTGAAATTAATGAAAATACGTTCTTTTTGTCATTCTAAAAAGCTGTTTCTCAAAACAAAAAATTAGAAAACGAGTTTACTTTAAAATTTTTAGAATCTTTCTTTATAACCTTAGTGTCATGGAAATGAAGCATGTCTCGGCATCTTTCAAGAGCTACCCTGCATTCAATCAAGTGTATGGGATTGTTAATAGAAATCTGGACCTTTTTCTTCTCATAATGGTTGTATATGTGGCTCATATAAAGTGGAGCACAAGTTTATTGAATCAAAATGACCAATGCCAAAGTGGAGCAACAACATCGGCCTTGTCGGTTTAATTCTCAATTAGTTTGTCAGGAACGCTTAATAGGTTGTATGGTACGGTACGCTAAATAGATTGCTCTCCGCGCAGCAATCTCTCCAAGTGCTACGTGGAGATAAGTTTGAGATGAGTGTTCGACAGACGAATGAACAATGAAGTGGTCTTTCTGAAGGTCTAAAACGCTTTTGGTAATTGAATGTTTAAATGGTATTTTGAGATGAGTGTCGATGGGCGAATGAACGGTGAAATGGCCTTTCTGAAAGCCTAAATGCTTTTGGTACTGTGCATATAAAAAGAAAATTCATTTGTATTGAATTGCAGTGAAACGGAATCAAACTCGTGACATTTAGAAAATTTGTAACTCTCCCAACTAAGTTATCCCACTATTGTCAAAATCTGGCCGTTTTCCACATTTTGAAGTTTTGGCTTGATTTTAACTGAAAATAGTCAAACGACTTTTTGGCCGTTTCCATTTTCTTTGTAAATTTTAAATCTGTTTTTAGAAATTCATTTTTTGAAAATAGGTAAGTAAACGTTTTTCAGTATTTTCGAAAATTGAAAATTAAAAATGACCTGAAAACAGAAAAGAAAAGGTGCTCGAGTTTTTTGAAAAAATGTGGCCAAACATTGACTAAAATAAGGTTACTTGTACCGTAAAACTAAAGTACTTGGTTGACCCGGGCGGACAGTCTTGAACAAGTTCATTACGGTGAACTATTTCGTTTTATTATGTAATAAAGTGTATTAATAATTAATAATCTTAAATTCTTTACGTATATTTTCCTCGTTCAGGAACCAAGCCCTAGATTCCAAAATCCGGAGCAATTCCACCACCTCAAATCTGATATTCGGGCCAGGAATTTAAAGTTTTCATTCGGGAATCCGAACCCGTCATTCAGGTCCCATTTTTATGCCCTTTTTATACAGAATTTTTTGGATTTATTGTATTTGTTACAGTTTAGTTTGTTAATTGAGCATGATATTTTCATAAAAATATGTGAAATTAACAAGATTCCGTCAGCAGATGTTTTAGTTTATTTAGTGATTTGGAAGTTTTGATACTTATGATGGACACACGATTTGTTTAAGTTAATTTAATTTCCCAGATTAATGGATTTTGCACTACTGTTTTGTTTGCATCTACAACTTGGACGTTGTAAATTCCTTTGTAAATCACATTCTGATCTGAAGATGGATCGTACCTTTCTATATTTCCAGCAATTTCTTCTCCGTTTGCGCCTTTCCCTCTGAATGGAATGGTAAAAACGATTTACATAATCCTTTCAAATAATTCATTTTATGCTACTTAAATTACATAAGAGTCCACAATCCAATTACTTTTGTGTTACCAGTGTGCGAAAATTTTAAATACAAAGAGCATTTGAATACAAAGTTTGGTGTTTATCATGGATTGTAAAATTGTAGATCCTTGACCATTTGTCTTTTCCGGTTGATGCTAGTTTTCAAAACATTGTTCTTACATGACAAACTTTAGGTAGAAGTTTTTGTTTTTTTGGGTGTCGTCGCCTTTAAAATTTGAACTAACCTTTTTAGTTTCAGCTTGTTGAAGAGAACTATGTGATTTTAAACTTACCAACACAAGATTTTTATTGATTTTTTTTTTTTTTTGAAACAGATTAGCCACGGCAATGGGAAAGAAGAAAACAGAGGAGGCTGGAAATAATACAAAAGCAAAGTCGAGCAGTAAAGAGAAGCTCTCAGTCTCTGCAATGCTTGCCAGCATGGACCAAAAGCCTGATAAATCAAAGAAAGGGGCTTCTATGTCAAGCTCTACTTCTAACAAGTCCAAATTGAAAGCACCTCCAAAACCATCATCGTATACTGACGATATTGATCTTCCTCCTTCGGATGATGAAGATGATGCTGAGGATGAGCAACAACAGAATGAGGTTCACAAACAGCCAACCAGGCATAATAGAAGTGATGGAAAGCCTCTTGAAATTGCCGTAAGTGACAAAGAGTTGAAGAAACGAGAAAAGAAGGATATGTTTGCTGCACATGCTGCTGAACTAGCAAAACAGGAGGCCCTTAAGGATGATCGCGATGCTTTTACTGTTGTAATTGGTAGCCGTGCTTCTACTCTTGATGGCCAGGACGATGCTGATGCTAATGTGAAAGATATAACAATTGATAACTTCTCTGTGTCTGCTCGTGGCAAAGAACTCTTGAAGAATACATCAGTGAAGATATCTCATGGAAAGAGGTATGGATTGGTTGGACCAAATGGAATGGGTAAGTCTACCCTATTGAAGCTCCTTGCTTGGAGAAAGATACCCGTACCTAAAAACATAGATGTACTTTTGGTTGAACAAGAGGTCGTCGGTGATGATAGAACAGCACTTCAAGCAGTAGTTTCAGCCAATGAAGAACTTGTCAGGCTTCGACAAGAGGTTGCGTTGTTGCAAAATTTATCTGCTGACACCAGCGAAGATAATGAAGATGATGATGCCATTGGTGATGACGTGGGTGAGAAGCTTGCTGAATTGTATGAAAACTTGCAGCTGATGGGGTCAGATTCTGCTGAGGCTCAGGCTTCGAAAATTCTTGCTGGATTGGGTTTCACAAAGGATATGCAGGACCGTGCTACCCAGTCTTTTAGTGGTGGTTGGAGGATGAGAATTTCGTTGGCCAGGGCACTTTTTGTTCAGCCAACTCTGTTGTTGCTGGATGAACCTACCAATCATCTTGATCTCAGAGCTGTTCTCTGGTTAGAGGAGTACTTGTGCCGGTGGAAGAAAACTCTTGTTGTTGTTTCGCATGATCGGGATTTTCTCAATACAGTTTGCAATGAAATTATTCATCTCCATGACTTGAAACTCCACTTCTATCGTGGAAATTTCGATGATTTTGAAAGTGGATATGAGCAGCGTCGTAAAGAGATGAACAAGAAGTTTGAGATATATGACAAGCAAGTGAAAGCTGCTAGGCGGTCTGGGAGTCGTGCTCAGCAGGAGAAGGTCAAGGATCGGGCAAAATTTGCTGCTTCCAAGGAAGCATCTAAGAACAAGTCTAAAGGAAAGGTTGATGAAGATGAGCCTGTGCATGAGGCACCTAAGAAATGGAGAGATTACTCTGTGGAGTTTCATTTTCCCGAACCAACTGAGCTAACTCCGCCACTTCTGCAACTAATTGAAGTTAATTTCAGTTATCCAAACAGAGAGGATTTTAAACTCTCCAATGTTGATGTTGGTATTGATATGGGGACTCGTGTTGCTATTGTTGGGCCTAATGGAGCTGGGAAGTCTACCTTGCTCAACCTTCTTGCTGGCGACTTGGTTCCAACTGAGGGTGAAGTGCGCAGGAGTCAGAAATTGAGAATTGGTAGATACTCCCAGCACTTTGTGGATCTACTGATAATGGACGAAACACCAGTTCAGTATCTTCTCCGTCTTCATCCAGAGCAAGAGGGACTCAGTAAGCAGGAGGCAGTTCGTGCAAAGCTTGGAAAGTTTGGACTCCCCAGCCATAACCACCTCACACCAATTGCTAAATTGTCCGGAGGGCAGAAAGCCCGGGTGGTTTTCACTTCCATTTCCATGTCTAAGCCCCACATTCTGCTCTTAGACGAGCCAACAAATCATTTAGATATGCAGAGCATTGATGCACTGGCAGATGCGCTTGATGAGTTTACTGGCGGTGTCGTCCTAGTCAGTCATGATTCTAGGCTTATATCACGTGTTTGTGATGATGAAGAAAGAAGTGAAATATGGCTGGTGGAGAATGGCACAGTTGAGACTTTCCCAGGCTCATTTGAGGAGTACAAGGAGGAGCTTATCAAGGAGATCAGAAAGGAGGTTGATGATTGATGCGGCATGTAATCCAGGTTTAATTTTTTGGGTGAGAGAAGATTTTACTAAAGCTTTGTACGAAAAATTATTTTACAAGTGAGTTTTACTTGTAATTTTACAAATATCCATCTTTTGCGTGGTGGTCATTTTGAGGTTATAAGAACCATTTATTTATTTTATCACTCACTCCATCCTCTTTCTTGGTTGATTGTCAAGGAAATGGATCAGTGCAAGAAGTACTCTACAGTGCCTTGCTGATGTTTGTTTTATTGTCGCTGGATTTATGTATTTTGTTTCATATTTAATGTCGTCGTTTTACATTTTGCCTCATTCTAATTCATGAGCACCCATAGTAGACTTGCAGAACTTTTGGTTGTACTGTATTCTTTTTTGCTTTAGATAATAAAATATGGAGAGGGCTCAGATTAATTTTGAAGCCAACCGTTGACAGAAACTCTTCACTTCATTTCCATACCTTTTTAAGTTTGATTGAGCTCAAAGCTATTGTCAATTGATGTACCATTAAGTAGGTAATCCTGCACAATACAATCATTCTTTGTCATTGAAAATAAATGATGGGTTTGCCTGTTCCCAGCTTCTGATGACTGAACCTACTCAGAAATTTCGAAAATTATGATGTGGTGGTTGTATTCTAAGGCCTGTATATGGTTGAGTCGAGTTATGTTTTCGCCAACATTTTTAGTTTATTTGGCAAATACGATTTGATGGGAATGAGAATTAATTGGGGAGATGGATCCACATCTGATATTTTTTGACAAATTAGTGCATGTTTGGCAGAGTACTAGATTGAACATTGGACAGAATAATGAATATGATTTTAACTTCTTTTTCTTCCTTAGCGCTGTCGAATAACATGTCGTCCAGTAATATCCAGTTCTTCTGACATACATGCTGCAAGTTTTTTAGGCTTAGCCACGATCTGCAGTCAGATTAGAGGTTTATATAGTTAGGGGGTGTTTGTTTGGGATTTTTGAGGGAAGAATTGATTTTTGAATAGTGATATAATGGGAAATGTGTGGTTGAAAAAGAAGAAAAAATTATAAATGTGATGGAAAATATTATTTTATTGAAAAATGTGTGGTTGAAAATGAGAATTGATTTACTGTAGAATTTGAGAATTCCAAACAAACAAGCTCTTATTAATTGTTTCCCTGTTACTAGTAAATAATTTTATACTGTTGGGCATGGTTGTAGAGAAACTTATTTAAAATTTAAGATAAATGGAGACAGACCCTCTTGGTCGTGTTGACTCTCCGGGGAACAATTGCTGTAAAGAAAGTGGTTACATGCAGTTTTCTCAGAAATTAAATATGGCATTGTTTGTATAGAATAATATTATTTATCATTAGGGATGGTAACGGGACAGGTATGGGACGAGTCGGCCATTCCCATTTTCATTCCATCGAGTATTTTTGTTATCTTGTCCCATTTCCATACCCGATTAAAGCTAGACGGGGCGGGACCCCTGCTCCATTTATCGTCCCATTTATTTTTTCTTTTTATTTTTTATTTATTTTATTTTTTACTTTTATTTTTTTATATCTTTAGTTAATAAATATTATTACTTTTTTTATTAATTTGTTAAAAAAACAACTTATATTCTTTTTAAAAATGATAATAAATATATTATTTTTGTTTGATAAAAAACTTAAATTTGAAATTAACTTTAAACGTGGTGGGTAGCTGGACGGAGACTATATTTTCCGTACCCGCTTTGGAGTAATGACATTTGCCACGTCCCTGCCACGTTTACCATGTTAGGTGGATAATCCCCGTCCCATTTGGGACGGGCCCCACGGGCATCGAGTTGAACGGATTTTTTTGTCATCCCTATTTATCATTACGATGATGTGACAGTTTATGTGGAAAAATGAGATTGGACAATTCAATTTTTATTAGAGAAAGGAAGACGAGGGAGAGAGAGAAATGTGAGGAATAATGAGTTGTCAAATCATCAATATGTCATTATTATGATGATAAATAGCATTACTCGTTTGTATAGGGTTAGAGAGAAAAAGTTATCCAAAAATTGAAAAACTCGTCTCGTTCCCAAAAAATTTGACTCAATTGTCTCACTTTATTAGGTTCATTAATGCAACTTCTACAAAGATTCAATGAAACTAATTCTTTTGCATACTAGGCTATGCTCTTCTTGATCTACTTCTAAACTTTCATGCTTGAATGACATTGCTTTTGTAAATGGAACCTTATTTGGGTCCGTGCAACATGAAATATCCAATTGAAAAAAAAATGGTATTTTATGCTTTTATGCAATAATGGAGTCCTCTTCCTGTCCAAATTTCATTGAAACTGTATGGTACATTACTAAAGTTAGTGACTCATATTTTCAATCTGTTTTGTAATTTTTCCAGTGAAGATTTTCAATACTTAACCCGTTTCAGAATTAACAGTGATGCGTATAAATGTAGGAACGCTCGAACTCGACCGTGTTGGGCCCGACCTCAGTCCACTCTCATCGTGATGGATCCAAGATCGACCTTGACCTCAATGGCCCGACCTTGGCCCAGTATTGGCCATTTCCAAGGTCGGGCACAATAATTAGGTCGGGTCTTTAGCCCTAACTCACATATATCCTTGGACCTTACCACACGTTTTCTAGGAATGCCAGTCCTACTTAAACACAAACTCCTAGCTTATTACAAATTTAACCATAACTCAAATTATGCACTTCTAACATAACACAAACACCTAAAATAACTAGAACTACAGAAAGTTAAGTCCCTCCAGGACTCCCCCTCCAACATCTATAAATACATAACCTAGCCTCTCATTATTCAGGTACGTTTTCTTCATAGCATTCAACATAAGTTTCTCTCGAGCACTTGACTAACTTAAGTATCAGAGGGGCGAAAATGACACACCTCGGGCACCGTGGAAAGCCTGCTCCGGGAGATCACGGCGGACGCCATGAAACTTTCGAGGGTCGAGCTCGACCTCGGGCACCGTGGAAGGCTTGCTCCAGTAGAGGATATGGATGAGGTCGAACTCGAGCTTGATAGAAAAGTTACCATTGGTCAAGATCTTGATGCTATAACCACGGCCGAAAAATAGTTGGCTACGCCTCCAGGTATCTAGGTTACTTAGTTCTTTTTTGCTTTTCTTTTTTCAATTTGCATTATGTTAGGTTCAAATTCTTTTGTTAGCTTTAGCTCGGGCTTGCATGCCCTTAAGTTTTTTTCTTTTCAAGGCCTACGCGCCCATGTACCTTTACATTATTTTATAAGACATTAAAAACTCACCTCGAACAACTCTATTTAGAATTTACATTAAACTAGAATAAGATCGTCCTCCACCCATGCAGCTAGTACATCAAATCTAGCATAAGGCCGTTCTCCTCGCATGCAGCTAGTACATTAAATCTAGCATAAAGCCGTGCTCCGCGCATGCAGCTAGTACATTTAATCTAGCATAAGGCCGTGCTCCGCGCATGCAACTAGTACATCAAATCTAGCATAAGGTCGTGCTCCACACATGCAGCTAGTACATTTAATCTAGCATAAAGCCGTGCTCCGCGCATCTAGTACACGACCTCATTACCCTAACCTGGATCAACAAATACTTTTCGTGACAAAGGATTTTTTTGGTGATAGAGCTTGAGGAGATTACTAAAACAAATCTCGAGTTACTTGGCAAAATATTGGCCAAGTAACATGCTCGGGGTAATTTCCAACACAAAACTCGAGCTTACTGGCCAAGTAACGAGCTCGAGCTCCTTATTTCATATCAAACTCGAGCTTACTAGCCAAAAATTGGCCAAGTAACAGCTCGAGCTCTTTATCCCTACAAAACTCGAGCTTATTTGGCCAAGTAACGAGCTCGAGCTCTTTATTTTATATAAAACTCGAGCGGCAAAAAATTGGCCAAGTAACAAGCTCGATCTCGTTATTTCATATAAAACTCGAGCTTACTGGTAAAAAATTAGCCAAGTAACGCACTCAAGCTCCTTATTTTATATCAACTCGAGCTTACTGGCCAAAAATTGGCCAAGTAACGAGCTCGAGTTCTATTTCATACAAAACTCGAGTTTACTGGCCAAAAATTGGCCAAGTAACGAGCTCGAGCTCCTTATTTTATATCAAACTCGAGCTTACCGGCAAAAAATTGGCCAAGTAACGAGCTCGAGCTCTTTATTTCATACAAAACTCGAGCTTACTGGCCAAAAATTGGTCAAGTAACGAGCTCGAGCTCCTTATTTCATATCAAACTCGAGCTTATTTAGCCAAAAAGTGGCCAAGTAACGAGCTCAAGCTCCTTATTTCATATCAAACTCGAGCTTATTTAGCCAAAAATTGGCCAAGTAACGAGCTCAAGCTCCTTATTACATATCAAACTCGAGCTTACTGGCCAAAAATTGGCCAAGTAACAAGCTCAAGCTCCTTATTCCATACAAAACTCAAGCTTACTGGCCAAAAATTGGCCAAGTAACAAGCTCGAGCTTATTTAGCCAAGAATTGGCTAAGTAATGAGCTCGATCTCGTTATTTTATATAAAACTCGAGCTTACTGGAAAAAAATTGGCCAAATAACGAGCTCGAGCTCTTTATTTCATACAAAACTCGAGCTTACTGGCCAAAAATTAGCCAAGTAATGAGCTCAAGCTCCTTATTTTATATCAAACTCAAGTTTACTGGCCAGAAATTGGCCAAGTAACGAGCTCCAGCTCTTTATTTCATAAAAAACTCAAGCTTACTGGCCAAGAATTGGCCAAGTAACGAGCTCGAGCTCCTCATTTCATATCAAACTCGAGCTTACTGGCCAAAAATTGGCCAAATAACGAGCTCGAGATTTTTATTTCATACAAAACTCAAGCTAACAAGCTCGAGCTTCTTATTCCGTATCAAACTCGAGCTTCTTGGCCAAGTAACCAGCTCGAGCTCATTATTTGATGTAAAACTTGAGCTTATTGGTCAAGCATTGGCCGACAAGCTCGGACCACGTACTTAATAAGCATAAGCAATACCTCCACACACCACTCAA